TGTAAGGACATGGCCCAGTGTCACGATGCTGAGGGCGCAATACTGTGCGATAGATGTTCCGTCATCAGCTTCAACGATGGAGACCTATTCGGATCACACGTTGACGAGAGCGGTCCGACTCGATGGCAGCTGCCATTTGATCTTACTGATGACGGACCCGAGTTCCCACGATTAAGACAAAGCGCCAACAGCGGCTGCAACTTTTGCGCTCTATTGCTTCAGGAAATCATTGCAGAGTTTCAAGATGTCGAGGCTCATAGATATCGAGTCAACTTGAACCTCTATTACCACTGGGAGCAGCATAGCCCTTTCCGACTGGCTTTCTTAGTGGTAGAAGCACCATGGTGGACAGGAAAAGACGTCACAGAGCCAAGCGTGTCTCTTCAGTATGTTCGACTCGTTTTCGAAGTCGAAACGAATGATCGTGAGTTTTACGTTCGAGCATTTAGGCTGAAAGATATTACTATGAATTAAATTCTAACTATCTTCTAGAAACTGTGAAGAATTGGCTGAAGGTTCCTAGTATCCGAAAGAAGCAGGTGCTATGCGAAGAAAACATCGATTTCATGAGGCATGCCATCAACAACTGCAGGAATTCGTGCTGCCACACTGTCACTTCTAAGCATTTGCCCACAAGGCTGCTTGACACTAAGCCCAGCGAGAAGGGGGTCATACGCCTGCTGGAAACCTCTGAAGCCAGGTCATGCACAAAAGTTTGCGATAAGACCTACGAATATATCGCATTGAGCTACTGCTGGGGCTCAGAGGATGATGCAGTTTCTCAAATCTCGACAACCAGAGACATCCTATTCTCTCATAAACGCGGTATCAAAGAACAGGATTTGCCTCAGACTTTAAGAGACGCGGTACATGTCTGCCGAGAGCTTTCGATAAGATATATATGGGTAGACTCTCTCTGCATTGTCCAGGACGATATGGAAGACTGGGAGAAGGAAAGCGCCACGATGGGTCTCATATACAACAACGCACTTCTCACAATTATTGCTGCGTCTTCGAATTCATGCCATGACGGCTTTCTACGAAGAGAACGCAAGGACATAAAAGTATCCTTCTCATCTCGGATAAATCTCAACCTGAGCGGCTATTTCAACCTCGTGTTCTCTGGCAAGACCTATGCCCCGCACACACTCGACATCTGGTGGCCAACGAGGGACATCAATGATGCAAAGTGGGTCAAACGCGGATGGACGCTGCAAGAGGAGATGATGTCCAACCGACGTCTTATTTTCGGACAGTTCATGGTTCACTTCCAATGCGAGGCTGGAACCAAATCCGAGAACGGATATTCCAGTGACAAAACAATCGGCAGTGGCTTGTCCATGCAGAGTCTGGTGAGAGGCAACACTGACAGTAACGAATCCAGCATGTTCAGGGTATGGAACTGGATGTTGGTAAACTACACCGAGAGATCCTTCACCATGCCGCAAGACGTTTTACCAGGCATATCCGGCATCGCGAGACTATTTGCAAGTCATCACGGTCTTCCTCAAGAATCTTACCTTGCGGGAATCTGGAGAGAAGATTTCGAGTATTCTCTTATATGGTGGAAAGACTCCGAGTTCGGGACCGAAGACTTTGAAAATGTTCAAGAACTAGCACTGGCTCTTTGCAATCCGTCACCATATTTAGCACCGTCCTGGAGCCCAATAGGGCAGCGACCAGTCACAAGTTTGACGTTGATGGGGATCTTCAGCAGCGACTTTACATCAGAGTGTCTCATCGTTGACGCTTTCACAACCGCCAATGGAGCGAATCCTTTTGGTCAAGTGAGATGTGGGAGTTTTACTGCAGAGGCAAAATTTGGACCTGTTTCCTCAGAACTTATCCTCGGCCATTGCAGTGGGTTTGATATGACGAACTGGCAATTAAGGCAAAACGGAAGAGTTCTGGCTTATTGCTTCATCGGAATGCTGAAGAGGACAACACATAAGGCAGATGGTTTGTTCATGCTGATGATCGGAAGCTCGAATGCGCAGAAAGACTGGATGCATAAGGTACGGAATGTCTTGGATTATGCGGAAGATGACTGCTCGATTTGCAACTTCAACATTGAGGAGGAGTTCGAGACCGAAGTATGGGAAAACGATGCGATGGCTTGCGTTGATGGCGATTCTGAGCACGATGATGTGAAAACGTTGACTTCGGGGAAGAACGAGAAAGATTATTGGGGCATTCTGCTCCATCCATCTCACATGCCAGGGCAGTACATTCGGGTGGGCGCCTGGCTATCTTCGGCATACGATAGAGGAAACTCAAACTTTTTCAAAGAGCTGGAGACTCGTGAAATTGTGGTAATATGACAGTGATCTCTCAACCGACGGTAGCCATTGTATAAGTTGAAGAGGCGAATTGGTTGATGAGATCTCCGTGCCGGACTCAGGATTGTACCTTATCTTAAAATTAGTTGATAGTGCATTAAGAGTTTGGCCTTCAAGGCTTCTTCGCAACCTCCACAACACTCCCATCATTAGCGGATCCATGTGCATTTCCGTAGCAGATGAGCTGAGCTACTGTAACAAAACCTTGAACTGAGATTTACAAGTAAGACATAGCTAATGTTGTGACGACAAACATATCACTAGCCAATGCATAGCTCCATGAAGTTGGGTTACAACCCGGAAATCGAGCTCGAAGACAGCTTTTCCTCTGACCACAAAATGACCGATGGGAGCTGGACTATTGTAGCACGACTTTCCGGATTTAAGACAGGACAGCAAGTTTAACTTGGCTATTCATGAGAACCAATGCGAATTGAGAAGACGTCTCACATGTGCCAAAAAGGCCTAAGGTAGAGTAATACGAAGGTAACATGGCAGTCCTGCAATACGTCAGCCGATGTGAGTGGCCAAGACTGAGTGGCAAGGCCTTGCCGCGGGGTACAGCTAATGACCGCAAGTCACGAAAACCTCACATTTCCTTTTTGGGATTGACTTCCCAGATGTAAGATTGTTTTGTTCGATCGCTGGTCGTAACAGGGTAACTGCTGTTCACGACAGAATCTCACACTCGGAATTGTCTGACATGGCATGAAGCTGTGTTTCCCCATTCGGCGAAGTCCGAGCAGAAGAACCGCTCAGCTGTGGCGGACACTGTATGGCCTTTGAACAAGCTCTGTGTTTCTATTTAAATCTGAAGAAATAGGAAGTAATTACCTTTGCATATAATTGGCACTTGACATCTGAATCTTTGGTTCATATGCAGTATATCATTAAAGCATGTGGAATATGTGTAAATTGTATGCGTTGTGACCAAATAAATCAGAGTTCTTTGAACGTATCCTCAGCTAAATAATCTTGAGTTGTAGGTTCTAGGATGCTTTAGCAGTCTGAGATGATCTTGTGCTCATCGTACGGGACTTGCATGTAAGTCTCAGAACAGATGAGAAGCTGGGAAATCATGTATCAGTGGCTTGAGACAGCGTGATAATTTGACTCACTTCAGTGGCAGCATGTTGACGTAGATAGCTTGCCACATTTCAGTATACTTGACCTACGTTAGTGATTAAGTATAAAAGGCATCGAGTCTTGCTATGCATGTTCAAGCCCTGCAGCCAAAATCCAAGAATTATTCACCATATCCCTTGGACCATCTTACCTAACGCACAATCTCTGATCTCCTCCATCTGCAACAATGAAAAGCATTGCTCTGATACTCGCGCTTGCTACAGCTCATGTAGTAAGTTCAGCACCACGACGTCTTTATACACGGGCATGTGTTTATTAATTTACGAATCCTATTCAGGCTTTCTCGAGCTCTCTTCCAAGTGCTGAGACGATGGAACTCCTCGCCGCCAATGAGGTGGACCCGCAATGGGAATTCCCCACTGGCGCGAATGGACCGATCATCAAGTTCAATGGCACCGTCGAGGCTCTGTACGCCTATGTGTCCAATGAATATCCATCGTACATTGGTTCTGTGTTCGAGCCGGAAGCCTCCACGGAGGGTCTCGAAACGCGTGAAGATGCTTCTGGCTTTCTCGAGAAACGTACAGACTTCAGCTCCCGCCCTGTCAGTTGTGAACTTCTGGTTAGCCGCTCCCGCATTAGGGAGGGCATCGACTACTTGCGTCGCGTAAGAGGACAGCCAAGCATGGAACCGAACCGCTGGAGTCGAGTCAGTTGCTCATACGACTCCGCAATCTCGTGGATAAACACAGTACGTGATGAGTTTCATATCAAGTCTATCCAACTACAACTTCATTGAACCCATTGAACGTCGTTCCTGCAGAGTAATTGCGAAGATACTGAATCTGAATGCAGTCCAGCAGGCGGAAGACGCTTGGATCCTTCGGTTCTATCGCCGATGGTGCCCAGCGTATTTATACCCAGTGCAACAGAAATGACCGTACTGGAGGGCGTGTCAATCATCAGACCCAGTGGGGAGTCAGAGCTCATACGGACCGTTGTTGATCAAAGACGTGCCAGGCCAGATGGAAAGCCATGAGAAGTAGTTTGTACTTGGTCCAGGTTTCACATTTTTTAACTGAAAGAACGCCTTTGATGTTTTTATCGGGAATTAGTCTTTGGACCAGAAAGTTCAAGACTTTTTGATGATCAACTTGAAGCATTTGCTTCACACTACACTCATTTTGTTATCTCCAGAGTTTTATGTAGTCAGTGCTAGGTAGCCACTCTCATTAAGCACCCACCTCCACTTTTATACACACTCATTCAACCAGGGAAAATTTATGTCCTGCCTTTCTACCGAATTCGCAAAAGATGGTTTCTTGCTGGGCCGGAGACCACTGTACTCAACAGCTCACCGTGCTCTACGCAGACTCCGAGACTCGGCGGTCTTGAGAGACACCTGATCCGTTGCAGTGCTTCCTGCCTGGTGTTAAAAATAGATGATTTTCAATGCCGAAACCGAAGTCTTTGGCCAAAAGAGTAAGATGTAATCGCGTTAAAAAAGGCGAAGATGAAGAAAAGCTGCAGAGTCCCATGACGACGAACGTATCACACACCCGACGCCTCCATGGCTCAAACCATACCCATCGCAGTTCCCTCAAACAAGTCAGCCCACCTCTTCCCAACCCGCGGCGCGTTGCACTCGGTCGCATCCACACAAACGTTGACAGGATTTGTCCCATCCCCGCAGCAGTTGCCTGTCAAGCAAACCTTCCCCTCACCACACGGCTTCTCCTGACTGCACTGGTTCTCCTCTAGACACGATCCCGTCCTGAAGGCGATGCCGCCCCCGCCGAGCATCGATCCGCAAAAGCAGTTGGACCCAGCGATTGAGGACTCGGGCGGGTAGAACTTGCTGCCCTCCGAGAAGATGCAGTTTCCTGGGTTCGGACAGCAGGCCATGACCGTCGGGTCCGTGATGTTTCGGTCGTACTCTGGGGTGGGCGAGGGGATTGTCGTGATCTCGGCGAGTGTGGAGGGTGTTGTGGTAGTGCCGGCTGTGAAGGCGAGATTGAGGGGCTGCGAGGAGGTTTGCAGGTATCGGCAGACCTGTGTCTGGATCGTGGTCAAGCCGTAGCCCTCAATTAGGTCTCCCATCCCAGATCCGGCTTGGGATGTCGAGTTACCGAAGGTCGAGGCAGAGAAGTCGTAAATACCAAGAAAGCTACCGATCACGTCTAGGAGACTCTGGCCACGGTTCGTATCGATGTCCAGCCCGGCATCCACAAAAGGTTTGAGCAGTTCCCGAAGGTTAATCACGTTGCCAAGTTCCTGGGAGAGGAGACTCCACATGGACATCATTGAAGGGCAAGTCCCGTCCAGCGATCCTTTCGTTAGGTGATCAAGTGTCTGCTCGACTGAAGTCTCACAGTCTCCTGCAGGACCGCTACCCCCAGGCCAGGAACAAGTCGCAACAAAGTCGCCCTCTTTGGGAACAACCGCACAAGGATTATCTCCCAAAGATACAGCAACTGGTAACTCATCGCGCGCGGCGTTCCCGCACTGGTCTTTGAGACGAAGCAACACATCAAAAGCGCTGGTCTGTCTTTTCTGCAGAGGTCTCCCAGACGGAGTGTCGAAGAGAGCCGCGGCAGAGGTACATGTCGAGTTGGTCAAGCTGTTGATCTGGCTGAAGAAGCCAGAAATGAAGACATCAATCTTGGGCGAACAAACGGCGGAAGCAAAGTGCAGACCCTGACTATCGACGGAGAGCGTGTCGCCGTCTTTGTTGATGATTGCAAGCTTTGCGGGATCCGATACATCAATGAGGATAGGATCGGACGTGCTTTCGTTCATGAGACGGATGTACTTGACGGAGTTGGTGGTGTTGTCCAAGTAGAAGGCGTCGATGTACGGTGCAGTCTTGCCTTGGGTGTCTAGCTTGGACTCGTGCAGTGACTCTGTCGGAGAGGGGAGGGTGTAGCATGTGCTTGCGTTCTGAGATGCCACGATCGAAATGCCTGTGAAGGCGGGGTCAAAGGCACTGGATGTTGACGATGCTGTAGCTGAGGAGGAGCTTGAGGAGCTGGTTGCGCTGGCATTTTGTGACCCAGTGATGGTGGCAGTTCCGATGAGAGTCCAGATTGAGACGCGACCATCGGGGAGAGTGCTTGTCAGAGTGACGGCGTCGCCAGTTGGAGTGGGGGCAGTCGTGGTAGTTGCGCTTGGGCTGAGAGTTGAGCCATCTGAGACCGTCCATGTTGATGCTGCGCCGTTGATGATGCTTGTGATGACAATGACTTGACCCGTGGCAGTTGGCGTGGCGCTCGTTGTGTTTGAAGGAAGTGGCAGAGTCACTCCGTCTGAGATGATCCAAGTTGATCCTCCGCCGCCAATGATGCTACTGATGACGGTAATAACTTCTGGACCGCTGGTTGGAGAGGGAGTTGGAAAGAGTGTTGAGCCGTCTGAGATCGTCAAAGTAACTGGCTCGCCATTGATGGTACTGGTGATGGTAATGATCTCCCCAGTCGGGATTGGGGTTTGCGTAAGAGTTGACGTGGTGTTCAGAGGACGGGTCAGGGTTGAGCCATCGGAGACTGTCAATGTCGTAGCCGCACCACTGATGATCGTTGTTATGACAATGTCCCCAACCGTTGGGGTAGGGCTTTGACTTGGACTTTTCGTTGCACTCGTCGGAGTTGAAAGAGTTGATCCGTCAGATACAGTAACCGTGGTTGGTTCTCCGTTGATAGTGGTGGTGATGACGATGACCTCCCCAGTCAGTGCGGGAGTCGAGCTGGTGGTAGGCGATGGCTCTCCTAAAGTCACACCATCCGAGACGGTAATGGTGGTTGCTTCGCCATTGATTAACGTCGTAACCACAATGACCCCGATACTTGGCGTTGGCGTCGGGGTTGCGGTACTGCTTGCTGGTGTTTCGACTGTGCTGCCGTTGGAGACTGTGATTGTTGAGACTGCACCGTTGATGGTACTCGTGATCACAATGACACCACCGTTGGCTGTTGTAGTCGGGGATACAGGCGCACTGCTAGGCTCTGTCCCTAGAGTCGTGCCGTCGGATACTGTGAAAGTTGTCGGCTGGCCTTCAATGATGCTGGTTATGACAATGACACCGCCAGTAGGCGACGGCATCGCAGTGGCAGTGCTACTGCTCATTAACGTTCCGAGAGTCAGGCCGTCCGACATGGTGAAGGTAGTCGGCTCCCCATTGATCGTTCTCGTCACAACAATCACTTCTCCCGTAGGCGACGATACCGGGGCAGAGGAACTAGTGGTTGATGCAACGATGGTAGAGCCATCCGAGATGGTCACTGTAGTCGCAGATCCATCGATGATGCTGGTAATGACGATGATACCTCCTGTAGCCGTAGGGCTTGAGGCGGTGCTACTGCTGGTGGACGACGTAAGTGTGCTCCCATCAGAGAACGTGATGGTGGTAGCAACACCATCAATGAAGCTCGTGGTGACCGACACACCGGCTGACACGGTCTGGGAAGGACTCGACGTGACCGTAGCGGTAATTAGCTCGGAAGACGGCGTCGAGGTTGACCCACCGATCAATGTCAGAGTCGTAGCAGAACCGCCGATGACAGTCGTTACCACACTGAAACCTCTTGATTGCGTCTCAGATGCCGAGGAGCTTGATGTATAATTCGCAGGTATGAGGGTAGACCCGCCGACCACCGTGATCGTGGTGACTGCTCCGCCAATAACGCTTGTTATGATGCTGATCTCGGCAGATGAGGACTCTGAAGGCGTGGATGTTGTGGAAGCCGTTGCATTAGGCGATCCGGACAAGGTTGAACCTCCGACGAGTGTGATAGTTGTGGCCTCGCCATCGATGAAGCTGGTAATGATACTGATGCCCGCAGACGTCGTCTCTGATGGTATCGAACTGGCCATGGAAGTCCCATTCGCTGGGCGAATGGTCGATCCGCCGATGAGCGTGATCGTCGTAGCCTCGCCACCGATGATACTTGTAACAATACTGATGTCCCCAGACCTAGTCTCGGATGGCGTCGAAGCTGTAACTGAAGCCGTCCCGTTCAGAGATGCAGTTGACGTTGGTCCCCCAATCGTGATGACGGTAACTTCTCCACTGATGACGCTGGTAATAACCGACACTTGGCTACTCAACGTCGTCGAAGCCGGGCTCGCTGAAGTGGTATTTGGGAACGGAATCCCAGTCGGGAGCGTCACAACCCAAGTCGAGATCACCCCGCCCCCGACATCACTGGTGACGGTGCTGATCCTCGAGGTCGGAGTCATCGTGGGTGAAATCTGGGTAGACTCCGAGATCCAAGGGCGCGTCCATTGGGAACCCCCTGAACTCGGCGAGTCAGAGCTCGAGGCCGAAGCTTCCGTCGGGGTAGGAGGGGGCACATCGTGTACCTCTCCAGTGATGGTCGTCACAGTCCCGTTGATGACCATGGTGATGGTAGTCCCAATTCGTCCTTGAGGAGGCTTCAATGATGTTCGTGTGAGTGTGCTCACAACCTCAGACCCATCGCTGACAATCGTAGTAACGACCGGCACACCAACAACCTCGCTCGCAGGTACCGTAATCGTTGAGGCCCATCCCGACGAAGTCCCGCTCGGCTCCCCTGAGAGAGTGATCACGGTGAACCCGCCTCCACTAGTCGGCGACACCTCACCAGACGAAGCCGAAGTCCACGGAGGCGGCGGCCGTCCGGCATTGCCCTCGCTCGACAAAGCAGTGACATACACAGTCTCGACGCTCGTCTCAGTAACCTGAACAGTGGTCGTAGCCTCGGCCAGCCCACACGTCCAGGCCGTCGTGGCCGTCAACCCATCACCGGGAACCGAAAAGGAGTAGCCCCCAGGGATATCGGTGTCCGTTGGCGCAGGACGTCCAACCACCCCAGAAGCCTCCGTCAAAGTCTCCGTCGCAGTCGCGGAGATATCTCCATCCGCAGTAGAGTACATCGGATCCTCCGCAGTCTTTGAATGACAAGGCGGCGCGGCAGTTGCAGAGCTGATCCCGAGAAGACACCAACACTATTCTCATCAGCAAGCAACTCGTTGACAACAGCACGCAAAACTCACCGCAGAAGACACCTTCGCCTCCTCGTACCCAGTCGGCACCCCCTCCGGAATCGAAACCGTGCCCGTCGCCTCCGCGACGCTCAATACCGAAGAGCAGTACTCCTCCGCCCCGTGCCGCTCCATGCCGCGGAGGAGGTTATCCCCATGACACCCCTCCGCAGCAACAGCGACTCCGCCCAGGATCGCCAGCGCCGCCGACGCACGCATCATGAAGAAGTGAAAAGAGAAGAATATCGGGAATCTTATGGAAAAAAAAGCAAAAGGAGCGAACGATTCAGCGAGCGTCTTCTTCAGCCGGTGGAAGGTCTCGGTGTGCCGGGAAACCAACCGACCTGCCATCGACCTGCAACCGAGACCTTTATACAGCAAAAGTACACTCTCGACCACTTCAGCTTCCGTCTATCGTCACATTCTCATCGACAAGGTGCTTCTCCCGAGACGAGACCAAAGAGACGGGTCTGGAAGAGGTGTCCCCCCTCCGAGACACCGTCACCTACGCGTTCACGCAAGGTCAGTGAGATATCGACCCCCAAGCCTCGTGTCCCCGGCCCGAAGCTTCGTCGCGATCGAACCCCAAAGCCGTTCATCGACCTCACATCCGCCTAATTCCAGCTCTATCAACGACCTCGTCACACACTCTCCAAAATCCCAAGAAACAAGACCAGCGTAACGTGACACACCAGCTGCACGCACTTACCCGAGACACATCCCCCTTCACCCACCGAGATCATGCAGGTCCCAAACGTGACAGTCCCCATCACGCTTCCCGTTATCTCGGCCAATAGTCCCAAAAGAACCTTCGTTTCAGCCACAGTGACGTCCAAAATCCGGGGTACCACGCGACCCTCACGCGCAGAGCACAACCACGTCTCCTTCCACGCCGCCATTCGCCCACGATCCCTCCTCCTCTCACGACCGACATTGCAGCCAGAAACCTTGTCCTTCAGAGGATGGTACAAGATCACGCAGTCGAGGGACCCAGGAAGCGAGAAGTCATACAAACCACGAGTCACATCACCATACACACACAGATCCAATGAAACTGGATAACAAAACAAGCAGAAGCCAAGGCGTGCCTCCCATGTCATTTCATACCAACAATTAGCATCTACCCAGCGCCTCTCGTACAGTCATTATACCCATGACATACAAGATACCAACCTCCCTGGCCTTTAGAAATCAAAACAACACAAAATCAAGATGCCATCATTCATTAAACTTCATCTCACTCTTCCGCCCCTTTTTTAGTCTCGTCATCTCGCCGCAGCAGTCTGCTGCGTCGCCTGGCTCCCAGGTGGCAACTGCCTTGTCCTGACAATGTAATCCTGGTTCTCAATCGTGACACTCTTCGTCATGTGGTTCACCTTGTAGACACCAACCAACCGGGCCGCCAACTCAAACATGTTGTTTCGGAGCGAAATGACAATGAATTGGGCGTTCTTGGTGCGCTCCTTGATATAGTTGGCGACGATAGAGACCTGAGGTAGATGTTAGCATTGCTGAAAGGCAGCGGGTAATGTCGGGCGGGCAACTCACGTTTCTGAAATCCAACGCGGCGTCAATCTCGTCCATGACGTACAGAGGCGTCGGCTTGTAGTGGTGCAGAGCAAAGACGAGCGCCAAACTGCTGAGCGTCTTCTCTCCACCAGACAAGTTGCTGATGTTCTTCCATGACTTCTTGGGGGGCATGACGCTGAAGAGGATACCTTCGCTGAAGGGATCGAGAGAGTCCACGAGTTCGAGCTCGGCGTTACCGCCCATGGTGATCATCTGGTACATCTCCTTCAAGCGGAGAGAGATGGTGCTGAAGCCCTCCATGAAGCCTTCGAGACGCAGACGGCGGAGCTCATCGCAGCGCTTCTTGGCGGCGTCGCGCTGACCAACAGCGTTCTGGAGGTCGGACGATCGCTGCGCGTGTTCGTCGACACGGCGGCGGTACTCGGAAAGAACACCGAGATCGACATTGACGTTCTGGGTCTTTTCCTCAAGGGCAGCGATCTCTCCCTTGAGCTTGTCCTTGCTCATGTCGGCCAGCTCGTCAGGGGTGTATACAGGAAGCTCCGATGGCTGCTTAGCCTGCTCCTCAGATTCACCTTCCTCTTCGTCAGCGGCCTCATCGGCCACAGCTGACTGCAGAGTCTCATCTGCCTCGGCCCGTACCACTGTGTCGTCACCTTCCTCGTTCTCATCCTCTTCGCCCTCGGTCTTGGGGGCGGGCTTGGGTGCAGGGGTACGTCTGCCAGAGGGGTTGGTGTTGGTAAGGTCGTCAACATTTTGCAGCACGAGCTTTCCAAGCTTGTCGTTCCAGTACATGAGCCTCTTCTGGTTCTCCTGCAGAACCTTGGTACTCTCCTCAAGCTTGTTCTTCATCTCAATTTCCACCGCACGGGTAGTGTTGAGTTCGGCAGTTTTCTCGTCGAGCTCGGCCTTGATGGATGACAGCTCGTCCTTCTTCGCTGACAAACCCTCCTCGGCCTCTTCCACTTGCGCCTGGAGAGTTTCCGCCTTCTCGCCCTGGTTCTCAATCTCGTGCTCCAGCTTCTCAAGATCACGGCTGGCGACATCGAGTTCCTTGGTGGCCTTGGCATGATCCTTCTCCAGCTTCGTCTTCTGCTTCTCTGCCTTGACCTTGCGAACCTCTGCGTTGGAAGTCTCCTCGTTCTGAGAGGCCATCTCCTCCTTCAAAGCGTCGACGTTGGCCTTTTGGATACGAAGCTTCTCACCACCGACCTGCATGATCTTGTCCTGGAGTGCCTTGATCTCCTCCTCGACGCCAGATGTCTCGTCGTGGAGCTTTTCGACCTCCTTGTTGAGCTTGGCAATCTCCTTGCCAAGGGCAGCGATGCGCTTATCATCGGCTGCGGACGGCTGGTGCTCCTTGCTCAGTTCCTTGATGCGACGATGGGCGTCGGCGAGGTTCCTGGCGGCGCTCTCGATTTCAAGGTTGATCTTCTGCATCTTGGTGTCGAGTGCAGGGATCTGCTCGTTGAGGTCACGGAGCCTGTTCTCTAGCTCTCTCTGTTGCTCCTGGAAGTCTTGGTACTTCTCCTCATAGACATCACGCTCCTCTTCAAGCTTGGCAACCTGCTCCTTGGTGGTATCGGAGGCGAGCTTGGAAGACATGAGACCCTTCTTGACAGTGTTACCACCACCAGACATGGTACCGGACTTGTCAATCAACTCGCCAGCGAGAGTGACCACACGCCATCTCTTGGCGCCGTAGGCAATTCTGTTAGCTTGAGCGAGGTCCTTGGCGACTAGTGTGTCTTGCAGGGCATGGTAGAAAGCCGGACGGAACCTCTCTTCCTTGGGGTTGACCAGGTCGAACAGGCGGGGTGCGTTCTCTGGAGTCTGGATGGGGTTCATGTCTCGTACTCTCAGCTTGTCCAGACACATGAAGTTGCCACGACCCAGGTTGGTCTTTCGGAGGTACTCAATGCACTGCTGTCCAGCCTCGACCGTGTCAGTGACGAAGTTGTCGAGAGAACCGCAAGCAGTCGAGATAGCGACGTCATATTGACCGTCGATCGCACCGAGATTTCCAAGTCTCCCGTGGAAGCCGTCAATACGACCAGACTCTCGCATGCGCATGAGGGCAGTGAGGACGTTGCCCTGGGTCTGTGTCTTAGACAGACTCGAGCGAGCTTCGTCAGCCTTTTGTCTGGCATTAGAGACCTTTGCACGAATCTTGGGCTCGTGAGCAGCAAAGCGGGTAAGCTCGTGCTCGGCCTCCTTGGCCTCTTGTTCCAACTTGGCCTTCTCAGCTTGGCATTTCTTGAGCTCCTCCATCTTGGCTGCTCTGCGGTCCTCAATGGCGGCAATCTTGGCCTCAGTCTCGGCGATGGCAACAGCGCCCGCGTTGGCCTTCTCCTCGAGAATGCTCTTTTCGCTCTCAGCGACGGCAATGGCAGACTGCTTTTGGTTGATCTTGTCCTTCCATGGCTCGAGAGACTTTTGCTTAACAGCAATCTCGTCGGAAAACTTTTGAGTCTTGCCCTTGAGACCCTCACGGATGGTCGCTAGCTCTGCCTCCTCTTCCTGGATTCGGATCTCCAGAGAGGCGATTTCCTTGGCGCGGGTCTCGATCTCCTCACCGCACTCGACGATGGTCTCCTCGGCTTCAGTGGCAGACTTCTCGGCATTGGCGATGGTCTTCTCAAGCTTCTTTTGCTTGTCGTTGAGGAACTTCTTCTTTTCGTCAAACTTGACGCGTTCTTGCTCAAACTTGGCCATCTCCTTGACAAGAGCCTGCGTCTTCTTAGATTCGGCCTCGTGCTCCTTGCTGACTTGGGAGTGCGCCTTTTGCAGTTCCTTGATGACTTTCTCGCTTCCGTGGTGCTTCTCGAGCTCCTCGTCAAGCTGAGCCTGCGTCTGACTGATGGCCTCTTCGGTGACTGCGACATTGTCGTGGCACTCGGCGATGTACAGCTGGTAGAGCGCAGACTGCTTGAGAGTGAGTTCGTTCTCGTCCCTGATGTATGCCAAAGCCTTGTTCTTCTTGTCTTCGAGGCTGTTCTTCTCCTTTTCGACATGCTGAACACGACCGCTCTTCTCCATGCACGTTTCGTTGAGACTCTCGACTTCGGCCGCAGCCTCTTCGATTGGCGTCTTGTACTTGGAGGTGCCGATGATGTCCTCCAAGTACTCGAGAAGACCGTCGTCGTGTTCGTTGGCAGCCTTAGGCTTCATCTGGGCAATGGACTCGACTTCGCCCTGCAGGATGAGGAAACGCTTGTGGTCGAGATCAATACCGCGGTCGCGGAGGAGGGTCGTCACCGTTGTGAAGTTTGAAGTCTTGCCGTTGATGAAGTACGAGCTCGAATTGTTCTTGAACGCCTTGCGGGAGATGATGAGATCGGAATCGGGAATAACTTCGTGGCCGCCACCAGGCTTCAGTATGTTAGTATGTTAACTGCGCATGCAGAAAGCGGGTGACATACCTGGTCCATGACTTCACGGAAGTGCACAGAAACCTCGCAGTGGTCTAGGTTGGGGTACTGCGCAGAGTTGTGGATCAAAGCGGACAACTTGCCCTGACGCATCTTGCTTGCGCGGAAACCGAAAACGAACAGGAGAGAATCGATAACGTTGGACTTTCCGGAACCGTTGGGACCGACAACGGACGAGAAGGAACCGTGGAAGGGACCGACTTCCTGTCGTCCGGCATAACTCTTGAAGTTGGTCAAGATCAGGTACGAAATCACAAG